CTGAGCCGAAGGCAGTCGCTTAACCGACTGAGCCACCCAGGAGCCCCACACTCTAGTGACTTCTAAGGGTAATGTCAAATGTTCAAAACGTAATTATTTTTAATTAACTCATTTAAAAAAAGGATCTTTGCTATAGAAAGGGAGGGAGATTAATGGAGAGAATTTGAGGTTTCTGACGTCAAAGAACCCCATCGTCACGACCCCAAGTCAAGTGTGGAGCCGCTGTCCTATTCCTCTAGGCTTCCAAAAACATCCACAGGCGCAGCAAAGCAAGGAGGTACTATTACTGATAAGGTATCAACCCCTTTCCTAGGCCATCCTTTTCCTGTGCCACTCGGCTGGTCTTTGGACTTGGAATTTCCAGCACACCGTGTCACACCAAATGCCAGCGCTGGGTCAGGGGACGTTACCACGGGGGGGAAAAGAAAACAGGAAAGAGAAGCTTACTGCTTCTCAGGGGCCTGAAATCACGTGACACAGGTGGAAAGCTGAACGGGGAAAGCCACGTGGGTCAGAAGAGGCCCACCTGTGAAGCGGTTCCCGGCAGGGTCAGGAGGGGAGCGTGCATTTCTGGGGAGGGGGCAGAGCAGTGATGGAGCTGGAATACACCACAGGAAGACCCGGGGCAGGGGCGGGGGGATCCTCGTGGCCCCCGCGCCCCTGCACACCCACCTTTGTACTGCAGAATGTCCTCCGTGTAGGCTAGCATGCTGGGGAAGGTGCTGCTGAGGAACAGGCCCAGGCTGGCTGTCCCCACGAACAGGAAGGCGACGTTGTAGGAGAAAACGAGAAGCACCAGGAACGTCATCACCACGCCGACCTTTAACAGCAGAGATGGAGGCTATTAGCAATTGGGAAAAGCTGGGCCTCAGGCTCCTGACTTGGAAAGGTCCACGCTGACCCCGGAGCGGCGCTGTGTGACCAGGACGCCTCCCTGTGGACTATGTGGGGACTGCACCTTCCCCAGCCTCATCTCCGCGGAGGAAGCCCCGGAACGGAAGACTGCGGACAGGGGTGGGCAGGGGCCGCCCAGACAGCCAGGCAGATGGCCTTCCGTCCACACTTAAGAAGCGCTTGGCCAGGCAGTGCTGCCTGTCCCCAAGGTCTTGTCTGTGAGCGCGGGGAATCCCAGCCAAGCCATCAGCTCTCTGCCCTCCACTCCTCATGAAGATGAGCTGCTTTTCTTGCCCTAAAAGCCATGAGTTGGCAGAGGAAGTCCAGGGTAGCAGGAGAGGCCTCCAGGGCTGGGGGGGGCGGTGTGTGTGGCGGTGGGGGGCGGGGTCCCCACCCTCTGGGGATGCAGGCGGACCTCCCAGAGAGAGGGTCGGTGGCTGGGGCAGTCTGGCACCCCCCAGCTTCAGTTCAGACTCCAACCTGCGAGCAGATGCCAACCTGTGGTTAGAGGCCCCCAGGATGGGCTCAGGGGCCAGAGATCTTTCTAGTTCAGAAAGGGTCTCTGTCACATGGGCATATTTTTGTTAAATCACGCTTTTCCTAAATTCCTTAAAAATGTTTTTATGTCAGCATTGAATAATTTTTATGCAAAACGCCTCTGGGAAGAAACTCAGGCAGCTGGGGTCTGGAGGCAGAAGACCCAGGTGTAAGTACCAAGTCTGGGGCTTTGAAGTCCTTGATATCTCTGATTCGAGCCCCCGAGTCTGCAAAATGGGTTACCAAAGCTACCCTGGAGAGTGGTGGAGAAATGATAGCAACGCAGGGGCTCTTAAACTGTGACTCTTTAGACAACGATCAGTCCTAGTGTTTGTGTGTTTTGAGCTTTCCTTAATGTCTCCAGACATAAGGATCTTCCACAGAAAACCAGGGCTTTCAGGTAAAAATCTCCTGGGTGAGTACCTCTGTTTCTAAAAAAAAAAAAAAGAGATAAAATTCTAGAGCAGAGAGCTAGAAGGTGTGAAAGAAACCACAGTGAGGGGTGCCTGGGTGGCTCAGTCGTTAAGCGT